TGATTAAAAACAGGTTAGCTATGAAGCATTAATTCATTCTATCAAGGCAAACTGCATTCATTATACTAAGACTTGAGGAGGATTTCTCATAAAATAATACTCAGGGAAAACAGAGCCTTGTGCTTCAGCACATCATTTTTCTATCTTTCCTCTTTCACTTATTAAGTTATGATTCTGTATGTACACAGTACCTTGATTTGTTTAAATTATGTGGGTTCTCGGCTGCTTTGTAAATTTCAAGTGTGCATTATGCACGTTTTAATGAAGAATGAGCTACGATTCCCGGGGAAAGCTCTGGTTCAGCCTTGTCGCACTTCCAGATGTGCACCTGGTCCTTTATTATGTCTCACATAAAAAGCTGGTGGGTATCTTTCTGACGGCACCTTGTTAATGAATCAAGATACAGTAAGATGTATATTAAAAAAAAAGAGAGTCGAGTTGTAATTATGGTAATGTGGCAAAATAGCTTAAAAATGGAAAATAAACCAGGAGTATAGCCGCTGAAATGTGAACATTGTGTTTCTCTTTAATTTGCTGTTGTCTTGGAACCTAGCTGCTTATGCAGTACTTTCACCTTCTGTTGCTTGTCTAAGTGCCAACTTCTTTCCCAAAGGTGTTCAGTGACTAATGCTTTGGGTACAAGCCAGAATATTTTATAAATGTCTATTTCTAGGCAGCTCTTCTACAAGTCTTAATTACACTTTAATGTCAAGCTGAAGTTTACTTTTAGAACCTCCTAGGCTCCTGTAGTTGTGACGGGACTGTAGAGCAGTGGGGGTAATGTAGGGCAACCGTGTTCTCCCACCTTCCCTCTCTGCCCTCTAACAGCTCCACCAAGCAGACGTGTACTTACGTAGCGTACAGGTTTACGCCATAAGAGTGATCAGTCACAGGCATTCCCTAAGATGGTGGGAAAAATGGAGCCTGCTGCCACAGAGTGGCATTCTCCCACCTGAAATGGTAGCCATGGTTTAGAGTGACTGCTTTGTTTAGTTGATACACATCCTTGCAGAAAAGCTCCAACTTCTCAAACCCAGGGGTTAGAAGCTAGAGATGCTACGTATGAACATGTTCCTCATTCCCTTCTCCTCAATGTCTCCCGAACCAACCAAGGAATTATGAGGTCTGGGGCATTGTTTTCTCTGATGCTGCATCTGATGCCATCTGAAATAACAAAGCCTTTGTTATTGCCAGAATAATACAGGTTTTAAATATAGTCCTATTATGTTGTATGCTTATTTTGAAACTAATGGTATTTCTCAGTCAGATTGGTCCGTGGTATAGCCAGCAAACTTTTTCCATGAAGGGACAGATAGTAAATACTTTAGGCCCTGTGGGACAAAGGTCTGTGTCAGCTACTCAACTCTGCCATCATAGTGCAGAAGTGGCCACAGATGAATGAGCATGGCTGTATTTCAGTAAACCTTTATTACAGAACCAGACAGGGGCCCAAATTTGGCCAGTAGGCAGTTTTTGAAACCGTACTCCATGGGATGTTGGCTTTTTACATGACAGTTCTGTGGTACATTTTTTATTTATTGATACACTATAATTCCCTATATTTTATTAAATATAGTTTGTTGGTATAATTTAAGATGGTTGCCAAACTTAACCAGATTTGGAGATTTTCAAGAGTTAATCCTGGATTAACAAACTATAGCGGTCTGCTCAGAGACAGACTAACCCAAAAGAATTATATTTATATGTTCACCAAAAGACAATAGCTCCAGACTAGGATTGCCCAAATTCCCAATGATAATTGAATGGATAAATAAAATGTGGTATATTTACAAACTGCAATGTATACACCAGAGAGCATAAACAATTTAGAACTCCATGCATCAGTAGAAATTAATGTTACAAGCAAAATTTTAAGTATAGAAAGCCTGATATTTAAAAATTCTCTGTGATTCCACTTACATGAAATAAAAAACTGGGCAAAGCCAGTCGATACTAATAAAAGGAAGATGATGGGTGGGGACAATAACTGGAAGGGAGGGGGGCAGAATATCCTATTCTGCCGTTAATATGTCTTCTTGATGTGGGTGCTCCTTTATTCAATGCATTCAGTTTATAATAATTACTGAGCTGTGCTCTTAGGATATGCATATTTTTCTCTTTGTACTATCGTGATAAGTAAGTGTAAAATGAAGAAAAAATCAGGATGAGAGGGGAAGAATTTTTAGGTATAAGTGAACTGTCTAACTTCTTAGAGCTATACCATTTGAAGTTAAAGAATACGGAGAAGTGTCTAAAATTTGCCCATTCCGAGGTTCACAAAAATAATTCTCAAAAATCATACTCTTTCCAGTATTGATCTTGCCATTAATGTATTGGTCAATTCAACAATTGTATTGCCACTACAATGTCAGTTGTGTGATGGGGTACAGATCATGTGAATGTAGTAGATGTTTACTTAATGAAACACTTAGAATTCACAGAACACAGAACCATGACTGTAACTTGGTAGAATTTATCATGATGAGTTAATGAACTTTTTACAAACATGTATCCAGAATTTTCTCCACTCTTTCCTTTAGTGTTACCCAGTCCTTTTTAAATGTTTGATACATTTGTATACCACGTATATTTTTTGAACACTAGTTACATTTGCAGGCTCTGAGAAAGCAGTGGCAATCATGATTTAGCATCTTCTGTCTAGGAGAACTTATTCTAGTGATGACAAACACCAAACCATGTGAAAATACTTTCTTATAGGGGTGCCCAGTGTGCTTTGGGAGAGGGAGAAGCTGCTTCTGTTAGAATGCAGTGCTGAGTGATAGGGGTTAGCACTGAGTATCCACGGGGAAAAACTTCTGAGAACTAGTAACACTGACACTTCACTGAGTCTTGAACATGAACAAATCACCCAGAGACGTGAAGAGGGAAGGTGTCAAAGGCAGAGAGAGAGCTTCACAGAAGGTACAGAATGCAGGTGTTTGGATACCTGCTTGCAGTTAAGTATGGCTCAAGCAAAGGAATGAGTTGTGCAGAGTAGTGAGGCCTCATGTGCTGTGCTAGTTAAGTTAGCACTCTGTCTTGAAGGCACTGGAGGACATTAAGTGGGCCTATGACGTTATGAAGTTGGTTTTTTTTTTTTTTCAATATATGAAGTTTATTGTCAAATTGGTTTCCATACAACACCCAGTGCTCATCCCAAAAGGTGCCCTCCTCAATACCCATCACCCACCCTCCCCTCCCTCCCGCCCCCCATCAACCCTCAGTTTGTTCTGTTTTTAAGAGTCTCTTATACTTTTGCTCTCTCCCACTCTAACCTTTTTTTTTTTCCTTCCCTTCCCCCATGGGTTTCTGTTAAGTTTCTCAGTTTGCTTTCTGTAAAGTGACCCTCCCTGGCAGCGTGAAAACTGGATTGGAGAAGGAGGACTTGAGAAATCAGTTAAGGGTATAATCCACATTAAGTCATGTTCAATCATGAAGTTTTCATACCTTTATATTAAAAAAAAAAAAAGTACTCCTAAAATTAAATAATCAGAATGGCAGAAAAAAAAAGAAGCAACATGCCTTTCCTACCCTCAGGCAAAAGTGGTTCCTGCCTTGGTTTCCCAGAGCTGCTTATTCACAACTCCTTTCCATGTATTCACAATATTTGTTTAAATTTTGTTTATACATCTGTCCTTTACTGTATATGCTCTATAAGGGTGGGAATTTATTTTTGTATCTGGAATAATGAATATCATGATTACATAGGAGCTTTCAATTACAGTTGATCAGTCATTCATGTGTCTTCACAGCATAAATTTTGAAACCTGTTCTTAAACTCTGTTCCCAGACACGCTTTGTTTGAAATCAATTCAGCAATAACTATTAAATGCAGACTGTATGTTTAGTTTATCCAAACACTAATCTTCTATACAGATGTTGATTAGAATGATACAATGTAAACATGGGGAAACTTTCTCTCGTACTAGGTGAATATTTACCTTTCTAATTGTTATGATTACCCTCACCTGATGCTTTGCCTTGGGTCACATCCTTCACTGGTTAAAAATTACTCAATATCTAAGAATGTCTGTCTTTAAGGAGAGATTATAGAATCATTGTGTACAAGTTTTCTTTGACTCTTCTAATTCTCTAATTGGTAGAGAGACTGGGCTGTGCAGACATTTACCTTGAGACTTTAGAACATTCCTGCTGTGATACTTTGAATCAGTTCCTTAAGCCTCGGGTTTTTTATATATTAAGGTATTTTTCTGTGGATTTCGTGGACTGTGCATGAGCCAAACCTTCAGAGTAGTAATTATTACTATTACAGATGGTGACTGAGGCTTAAAAATGCTAAATGACCTCCTACGACCCAAAAGAACTAGGCCAGAGCCAGAACTTGAACTCACTCCTATGTCTAGATTCACAGCAACCTTCTCTTTCCAGTTCACGGGACGATGAAGCATGGCTGCAGTTCTGTGTTTAACTTGGTCTGGTTATTGGTAGAGGTGGCCAGCCTGCCTTAAGACATTGAAGGTAGCACGACAGACTGTAGTGGCACCCACTTGCTGGGCCTAGCGGTCTTTTTCATGTGCTGTGCTCATTCCACCGAAACATCCTCTATTTTGGTGGAGGTAGTCTCTCTCTTCTCCTTTTCTCCTACTACTCCCCATTTCCCCCTTCGGTCTGGGCAACAGTTAGTTCAGTGTCTTTCCAAGGGTAAAGAAAGAAAAGAAATAAACATCTTCACTTCTGGAAAAAAAAATACTGTGAAATATGAGAAAAATCTGTTAAAGTATAGAAGAAGTGAAACAGAAAAAGTAAAGCAGATTTGCTTAATTATAACTAATTAAAAATAACAAACTTCCTGGGTAATAGTTGGCTGAATTTATCTGAAACATGAGAAATTGAGTTCTTTCGAGCATGAATTTGCATCTCCTTGCATGAGATCATCTCCCCATGGTGTTTTTCTAAATTAGTATTGTATGTTCAGGATAAACGAGGAGATGGGATTTTTATTTCCCAAACAAGAACTAAATATTAACATCAATTTTCAGGCCACATGAAAATAAGACCTATCTTGCTGTTGGAAGTATGAAGACCTTGATGTTGAATGTGTCCTTGTTTAATGCTGGAGATGATGCGTACGAAACGACTCTGCACATCAGACTCCCCTCCGGTCTTTACTTCGTTAAGATTTTAGATCTGGTAAGTTTCGAAAACCACAGTCGCATTCGTTTTTAAAGTGTAAATGGTATACTCCATTTCATCAATGTTAGGCCTAAATATTTGGGGTAGATGCAGACTTATCACTCAAGCTTCCGTTGGTTTTTGAGACTTCGTTCATGCTCCTGATCAAAATGACAAGTTCCTTGGGATCTGAGATCAAAAGAGTTAGCTTCCTGCTTCCAAATGCTATTGTGTGAGAGACGCAACTGCCCAATTGTCCAAGCAAGCTGTTTGGGTGCCATTGCTTTTCTCACAGATGACATGCTCATTTGGTGCTACGATCCTGCTCTTCTTGGCTGGGGTCCCTGCACAGGCAATATTGGTCCTCTAAGCTGGGCTCCCATAGTTCCTGCTCTTCATTTTAAGTTCACATGCCCAGTATTATTCCCAAAGAACTTCCAACAAATACCGTACAACCAGCAGTCTTCCACAAATTCTGACATCTTGGTGCCAACCAGATCACAGGTAATTTCTCTTTTCCTACAAGAGTTTGAAGCACCTAGAGACCTGTTCTTACCACCATGCCTCAATCGTCAACACTTAAATCCATCATCCAGGAATTAATAAGGTTGATTTCAAAGGGAAAGCCTGTCACTTTCTCTTTTGATGCCTATCTTATCCAGAGACCATCTCTTCAAACCAAGGACATGTAGAGAGGTCTTTGACTCCTCAGAAATAAGTTACCCTTTTCTCTAGAGCATCGGCAGCCTATTTGCAATAGTATGAGAGAAAAGTCAAATATTCAGTGTATGTGATATGTTATATAGTATATATAGTATATATAGATGTCTAGTATATATACATCTACAGTATATAGCTAACAGTGTATATTTATATACGTTTCTCTGAATATTTGACTATATATATCTAATTGTGATGACCGTTACTACAATTATATACTTTGTCACATTCTCACATCTCAGACAAGAAGGCCAATGAAATATGAACTTCCTTAATTCCTTGCTTCAAGGTTTTTCAAGGAACTGGATCTTGAATTAAATAGAGAATACAAACAGGGATGAAAGCTACAGGTCCAGGAAGTATTCTGTGGAAAATTTACATGAGTATTAAAATATACCAATATATGTGTATCCATGGACACACATATTTATAAATTTTTATTTACATATTTATAAATTTTATTTTTATTTCTATTTATCCCCAAAGTAAACAGAAAAAAAAGTCTTCCAGGAGAGCAAATTCTTCAGGGATGATTTTCTTTTAAAAAACCATTTTCTAACATATGTTATAAACTTCGGGTTTCCTTCTTACCTAAGCCAGTTGTTTCATTTTTCCTTTTAGGAAGAGAAACAAATAAACTGTGAAGTAACAGACAGTGCTGGCTTAGTAAAACTCGACTGCAGTGTTGGATATATATATGTAGATCACCTATCAAGGGTAAGCATTTAGCATGTTTTACTAACATGAATATAAAATATTTTCTATTTCTTCCATGTTTATGCCACATGCAAATATAAAATTTACCATTATTATTTATTTGCTTAGAGTAAGCAGCTAAGTGATGAAATAAAACTCCAACCAACTGGGCTTGAGATTTTTGAGATTGTGTTTATATTCTTGGCAATGTTCACTGAAAAAAAAAAATTAAAAAAAAAAGCGGGGGCACATGTTTGTGTCAAGATGGGCATGTGAATGTGTGGATCAGGATTCTGCTACCCTGTCTCACCCTTCTCCAACACTCCCCCCACCCCTCTCCACCCCAGGTGGTCCTATCTGCCAGGCATGTTACCTCTGCTATACAAAAAGGTGTTACTGGCAAGAGTCCTCACTCAAGTTGTTAAAGCATCTCTAATTTTGTCAGTCTGGACCTGCCTGTCTTTACATTTAGAGGCGGCTTTGTCTCTGAGTGTCACTTGTGGAAACGCTGGTGCTTGAAAATTGCCACAAACCCAACAGCGTCCCCATAGCTCACCGCCTAAGAGAGGGCTAATCTGTGCTTCCAGAACTTAGTCTCAAATCTGCATTCCACAGACCATAAACATTAAGGGAAATTAAAATTCAGATTATAAAAAATATTACTTCTACATTTAAAAAAAATGGGCATGTCCCTCTCTGCGTTTTACAGATAGATATTAGCTTTCTCCTGGATGGGAGCTCACTCAGCAGAGCAGAAGAGGATCTCAACATCACAGTGCATGCCACTTGGTACGTTTCATTGTGAAAAAAAGAATTGTGCTAAAGGAAATGGACCCCTGACTTCAGGGTGTCGGTAGGGCGGGGGAGTTAGGGAGAATCATTGGAGCTGTGTTCCATTGTCTGCCGGAGAAAATTTCGCTTGTGTGATCTAAGGAAAAAAAAATCTGTCTGTGGAGCAAATAACACTGTAAATAATGGGAGTAAATTTTTGCCAACCCTGTCATAAACATTTCTTACTACTGCATCTGCTTTTTTCTCCACTCCCCAAAGCCTCCAAGTATATTAGGTATACATGGTATGTGATTAGTTCTCTCTGAAGATGATTTTTATGCTTGATGGATTCTAACAGGGTGTCTTCTGTTTGCTTCTGTAGTGCAAATGAAGGAGAAATGGACAATCTGAAGCGTAACAAAGTGACTTTAGCAATACCTCTCAAGTATGAAGTTATGCTATCTGTACATGGGTAAGTAAATACTAAGGCCTCCTATAAAGCTGAGAGCTGATTTTATTTTTTCATTTTTCAGATGTTGGTTTATTTTTGAGAAAGAGAGAATGAGCAGGCTTAACGCCGTCAGTCCAGAGCCAGACACAGGGCTCTGTCTTACGAACCACGAGATCATGACCTGAGCTGAAATCAAGAGTCAGATGCTTAACTGACTGAGCCACCCAGGAACCCGGAAAGCAGATTTTAAATTCTGTTTCTTCTTACATTATTGGTCTAAAATATATTTAAGTTTTTTTTTTAAGGAAAGATCCTATGCTGTTTCTGTCCCTTAGCCCAGACCTTAAGTGTTGCATTCCCTTGCTTATCTGTTCGTTATTTTCATGCACTCTATAATCATTACTGAGACTTCTTCAAACTAGCACCCAATTGAAGATTTCTTATTGGAAAAGTCCCATAAGCCTCTAGCAGGTCATGCCCAACCTTTCAGTTTTATGCTGTGCAGGCCAGGGGCCCCAGTGTGGGGCAGCATTCAATTGGAATGAATCAAGCTCAGTGGCTATGGCAAGCGTGAAGTTCAGAGAAGCATAAGCTTAGTCAAATCACCACTCTCCAGAGCCCACATCTACTTCTGTGCCAAAACGATTGAGTTATGAGAGAGCCAGCTGCAAGGTGTTCCCTGTCCACTCTCCATACCCATAAATTATCGAATTTCTCACTTGTGGCCTCGGAGCCAGCGTTCACTGGTTCCCCGCAATGTTAGTGATTGATTGTGTGGACCCTCCTCAGATCAAGAAGGAAATGTATGGAGAAAGATTTAAGGGGTATTGAGAAAACCTTTTGTGATTTTATTGGAAATGACTCAGGCTATTAGTCTTTAAAACCATTATTTTTAAAAGAATAGAAGATAGGAGATACCAAACACACGAACTGATGAGCTTTTCTTGTTGCTGTAAATAAAACCATCGCTGGGGCGCCTGGGTGGCGCAGTCGGTTAAGCGTCCGACTTCAGCCAGGTCACGATCTCACGGTCCGTGAGTTCGAGCCCCGCGTTGGGCTCTGGGCTGATGGCTCAGAGCCTGGAACCTGTTTCCGATTCTGTGTCTCCCTCTCTCTCTGCCCCCGCCCCCCGTTCATGCTCTGTCTCTCTCTGTCCCAAAAATAAATAAACGTTGAAAAAAAAAAATTTAAAAAAATAAAACCATCGCCAATCATTTTTAATCACCCATAGAGATGACATGTAATTATATAAAGAAAAAATGATGGGGCACTGGGTAGCTCAGTCGGTTAAGTGTCCAAGTTCGGTTGAGGTCATGAACATGACTTGTGAGTTCGAGCCCCACATCGGGCTCTGTGCTGACAGCTCAGAGCCTGAAGTTTGCTTCAGATTCTGTGTCTCCCTCTCTGCCCCTCCCTTGCTCATGCTCTGTCTCTCTGAAAAATAAACATTAAAAAAAAT